AAAAAGTTTTCAATAGATTTGTTTTACACCTTCTGAAATTTCAAAGTAACCAGAAACTTGAAACCTATCAAAACCATTTCCCAAATTTTCCAAAAAATACAGAATAAACCTATTCGAAAATTGGGGAACATTTTTCCAATACATATGAAAACAAAAAGAAATTGAGAAGAAGGCATATTGAAGAATTTCGGGGAAGAAAGACGGTTGTGGACCATTGCTGTTTGTAGGTGAGAATAGAGGAAAGACGACAAGGCCGAAAGATAGTCTGTGCGCACGGTCGAGACGTAGAGACGCAGCTGCGAAAGTATTTGATGTCGCCTGGAGGTAACAGATTGGTTGTGCGCAGAGAGGCCGATCGCAACCCGGCAGACGAGCAGGGTGTCTTTCTCATTACACTCTCTTGGTCAGAACCATCCCAAAGAGACAGCGTGGCACAAACGGTCCGTTTTAACGTTTTCGAAGTTATGGTGAACGAACTCCTTAGCGTTCCTTCAACCTCAATACTGTGACAGATTTCAAAAAATAAGATGTAGAAATTTTAAAGCAAAAATATACAGAAATCAATATTAAAAATTCAAGGTATCTCTTGAAAATAGTCAGGTGAGATGATTTTCGAATTTTTGAAATATTCAAAACTTTGGGATATCGGATTTTTTGTTTTTTTAAAGCTTGAGTTTCAGAAAAATCATCTAAAACTCTGAAGTTTGGAAATGCCCAACATTTTCAAGCACTTTGAACGTCTGAAAATTTCAAAGTTTCAATTATTTTGAGATTCTGAAATTTCTTTCAAAATTTGATTTAGAAAGGTTAAATTAGTCATGTTTCAAAAATTATATGAACTTGAATACTAAAAGTTAGAAAATCCTGACTTTATATATTTTTCCAGTTTGCAACATTTTTTACTAAAAATGAATTTTATTAAAATTCTCAAAATTTCGAAAAAAATACGATTTGATACATACAGAATGTAGGCATAATGTGGAACTCAAAAAATAAACAACGGAAGTTTGGTCATGTATCGTCGAAGAGGGAGGGAGAAAATGAGAAAAAAGAAGGAGAGAAAACCAATAAAATTATCACAAGCTCAGGATTGGAATATCTTATTGAGTTCCTGACAAATCATCGAAGTGATCGGAAACTTGACAGCCGAGCTCCAGACTCCTGAAAACCAACAAAATGACCGAAAATCAACTACATCTTATTGATCGGTACTGTACATACGCCGTTCAATTTGAAGCGCGAAAGCGAGGGTGGCAAGACACTAGCTGTCTGCGTCTCTACCTCAAAAACCATAAAACCTATCGAAAACATTTCCTAGATTTCCCAAAAAAAACCTATTTCAAAATTAGGCATATTTTTCTAGTCCTTAAAAAACAAAAAGAAATTGAGAAGAAGGGAAATTTGAACAATTCGGGGAAGAAAGACGGTTGTGGACCATTGCTGTTTGTAGGTGAGAATAGAGAAGAGACGACAAGGACGTAAGATAGTCTGTGCGCACGGTCGAGACGTAGAGACGCAGCTGCGAAAGTATTTGATGTCGCCTGGAGGTAACAGTTTGGTTGTGCGCAGAGAGGCCGATCGCAACCCCCGCAGACGAGCAACATGTCCACTTTTAAAGAAACGTCCTCTGACCTCCCCACAGAGGCAGTGGAGGAACAAACGGGCCGTCTGATGGTCAGTGATGCTAACTAGAGAAGATTCTGACTGGAGTATGAAACTTAGATATGATACATACATATATCATTCGAAAGCTGAGAATGAGCCATTTTCAAATATATTTTTTGATTTTGCTTCGGACGTACCAGGTTCGAGAAAATTGGGTTTGAAATCTGATTTTCAAAAAACCAAAGGGTTTTTTTTCAAAAATCTTTTTTTCGAAAAACATGAAAATCTACTGGGATCAAAATTTTCTTGAATTTTGCCTATATCAAAGTTCCATACTCCAGTTACAATGTCCCCTAGTTAGCGTTTTTTCAACCCAATTTAACTCAATTACTCAGCAAATTTTTGGCACATGTGCCGCTACTTGGGGCACCGGTGCCGCTGCAACGCGGTAATCGTGCCCGGGGGGAGGGGCACGCATGTATTTTGCGTGCCGTTACCGTGCCGTTACCGTGCGCATGTGTGCCGTTCTTTGAATTTTTTTTTCTCAAAATCGGATAAATTCGTCGACTTTCTTCGAATTAAACAGTTTATTCGATCAGAAGGTCGACAAAAAAAAAGCTAAAAATTGAAAAAAACAGTGATGAGAAAAATTAAAGTTGTGTTTAGAGAAGATTGTGAAAAGGAAGTTGATGAGTTTTTTTGTAATTAATTTTCTCCCTCGTCTTCTCCAGCTTCGTTCGCATTGGGCTTGGCAGTATGTCTCTGAAAGAATGTTAAAGATTAAAAAACATGAAAATCTACTGGGATCAAAATTTTCTTGAATTTGGTCCATATCAAAGTTCCACACCCCAGTTACAACGTTCCCTAGTCAGTGTTTCTTCAACCCAATTTACCTCAACTACTGTGAGGGACATCAAAAGAGAAATTCAGAAAGTTTATTGGAAAATATTTATCAGTGGGTTTAGGGCTCTGATTAGGGTTCTTCACACAATATACAACAATTAATATTATAAATTCAGAATATCCTAATCTTACCAACTGCCAGCTAATGTGATTTTCTTTTAATTTGTGAAAAATTTCAAATATACGGAAGAATAAGAATTTTTGAGTTTCCAAATTTCAGGATATCGTAAAACCTGTATTAGAAGGGCCCCTTTAGTAGAAGGGTCCCTCTAACAGAAGGGCCCTCCGAGAGGGGCTTGGAAAAATAGAAGGACCCTCTGTGAAAAATGACCCCCCCCCCCTTTAAAATGTGTTTTGAAATCAGAAAATTTTAGTACTTTTTGAGTGGAAAATATTTCGAGAACTCCACAATTTAATATAAATTTGTTGAAACTCTATTTTTTGATGAAAATCTTGCTAAATTTAGGTGAAATTGACAGATTTCAGGGGGGAATTTTGAACGAAAATTCGTCGAATTTTTCGATGCAAAATTTCTGAAAAAACTGGCCGGAAAAATAGAAGGGCTCCCTCTAATTGAAGGGCCCCTGTAATAAAAGAGCCCTCCGGAGGTATCTCGGAACAATAGAAGGGCCGCCCTTCTAATACAGGTTTTACGGTATCTGAACTTCTGGTATTTTTGAATTTTGCAGGATAAAAATCTGAAATAATATTTGAAATTCGAAATTTGTTTTGGAAAATTTAGAACTTGGAAAAATCAGAAAACTATAATGTTGTGGAATTTTGAAAAAGTGGTATTGCATTCCTGTTTTCAATATCTGAAATTCCAATTTTTCGTACTTCTAAAGTTTTTTTGCAACTTCAAAAATTCAAAAAACAAGGCAGTACATAACATTTTCAACTCATTCTCCCTTTCCAACTACATTATGAATTATCAATATGCTTATCAACCCAATTTCTTATCAATTGTAAACTTCCATGTACATTGCTAGCTCTAAATTTTTTGTCTCTCCTTTTTTGTTTTCTTCCTCATTCATTTGTGTAAAATTCTGCTTTATTCAATTTTTGAGTGCATCACACGTTAATTGAGGAAGAAAATGCATTTTTCTGAAAAAAAAAAATTGAACCTCAAACTTCGGTTTATTTTTGCTGCAAATTCCAAAAATTACCTTTTGATTTTATTAAAAATTTTGAAACTTTTGTGAAAATTTTGAGAAAGAAAAATTCAATTTTCCGCCATATTTTCCTTTGAATTACATTTCCTTTGAATTACAGTAATATTTAAAAAATAGTTTTGCTTTTCTGATTTTTACTTTTTTGTTTGATTTTCTTCGAATTTTTCATACCAGTCGGTTTACGCCCCCTGTCGGGGGCTCAACTTCCTGGCTCCCGCTTTCTGTATCTTATAATTTAATTTCTAATTAAAAAATTTTCGAGTTTCCGAATTCATCAAAATTTGTGAAAGTTTTGCATACTATCAACCAGTCGGTTTGAGCCCCCTGTCGGAGGCTCAACCTCCTGGCTCCAGTTCACTGTATCTTACACTTGAATTTCTAATGTCTAGATTTTTCACTTTCCGAGTGCCCGAAACTTCCAAGTACTTCGATTTTTAAATTTTGGATGTTACTAATATGGGAATTTCTAGATAACGTAATTTCTCCAATAGAAGCCCACATCTATTTGATGCCTACCTCTGATAAAACAGGCGTACTTTTTTCAATGTTCTGATAATTTCTTTTAAAGGTGGGGAGACATGAAAAAAATGGTGTTCTCGAAATCTTTCAAATATGCCCCTCGAGGAGTTGAACTTGTGGGGGGGGGGGGGCGAGGATTGAGGGTGCGGCGCCGCTACCGACTGAGCCACGCGGGCAAAGAGGAAGCTGCCGCCCGATTGCATACATAAAGGCGAGGACGACAGGTGTACGCAGAGTGACATTAAGCGTTGTACACCGTCACGGTAGAATGCATACTCTAGCTACAAAAATCGTCCGTAAAATCTCCTGTCCCCCCACCGTTAAGTCTTGTCGCTTTTTTGAGAAAAAAGATATCCGATTTTCTGAATTTCCGAGTTTCTACACGACAGAATACATCTTTCTTGAAAAGGGAATACAATTGTTTGATTTTCTAAAGTCTCGAATTTCTAACCTAAAATCTCTAATTTTCGAATTTCTGCATTTCCGAGTTTTTTAAATACTCGGCTTTTCCGAATTCCTGAAATTTTGAATCACCCACATACATCATTATTTCATCATCATTTTCCGCTTCGATATCGCTACCGTATTCAGACTGCAAAAAATACTCTCTAACCTTTTTTTTCTCAGACAAGCATAATACTGTACCTTAAAGGCGCACTACGCAATTTTGAAACGAATGTTTTCACATGCGCCGTCGATGTACTGTATTGAAATCTTTCCTTCCCTCGCCGACAGTTGTGAATAGATTTTCCTTCAAAAATCGACAATTCTGTTGTTTTTTTTTCCAGAAATTCCTTCAAAATGTCTTGCAATGACAAAGACACTGGCGACAATTCGAAAGTTAATTCCGTTGCGAAAATACCGGAAAATCTCATAGAAATAGATGAAATCAAGCAAACTCTGAAGCGAACGTTCGACGAAGTTTCGGAGATGCTCCAGTCGATTGAAGCATCGATTTCGATGATTCCGAAAATCGAAAATGACGAGAAGCCAACAGAGAGCACTGACAATAAAGTTGATTCTTCTAAAAATTCATCAAATTTCAACGAATCGACTGTGAGTCAAATTCTGAAACAATTATTTCAAATGTGCTTCCTTTTAGATTCCGGAAGCCGAAGTGCTAAAATCAGAAAAGCGATTTGTGTTGAAGCACGTTTTCAAGAACTCATTATATTAATAGTTTTTTGTATAACAACAGGTATCATTTTCAGTTGCATTGAGTTAAAACGTTTGAATGAGCACCTTGCCTACTACCTCCACATTCGTGGTCCGGAAAATGGAATCAAATGGTCAGTTGAAACAAAAGTGGAATTCAAAGTTTATGGTCAAAATAAAAAAAGCAAAGCCCATACTTTCGATTATCGATACGAAAAGGATGAAGGCTGTGGATATCCCGATTTCTTGGAATGGGAGGAAATGAAAAAAGAGTATCTTATCGATGGCAGTTTGACAGTGGAAGCTCATGTGCAACTCATCGAATCTTCTGGATTCAGCAAAGAGAAGATTCGAAAATTTGATGAATCAAATAAAGACGATTCAGATGTGATCCTTGTCGTTAACAAAAAGGAGTTTTACGTCTTGAGAAAAGTGAGATTTATTTTGATAGAGAATTCTCAATAAATATAGTTTTTCTAGTTTCTCGCTGCCCAGTCGTCATTCTTCAAAGCTCTGCTGCTCGGAAATTTCGCAGAATCCAAGAAATTGAAAGTGACACTGACTGGAATTGATCCAGATGATTTTCACTATTTCCTTGAAGTTCTTTACGGCGAACTTGCTATTGATGGTAAAAGCTTCTATTATTCTGTTAATGCTCCTAATTTTCACAGAGAATAATGTCGAGGGAATTCTTCTTCTAGTCGATATGTACGATGCGAAAACAGCCACCAGACGATGCGAGAATTTTCTTCTGAAGGAATCGAAAAAGTCGTTGAAGAAGAAACTGGAAATGGCCACACGCTATCATCTGGAAAATCTCAAGGTAGAACCGTTGAAAATTTAAATAAACAAACAGTTTTTTCTAGAATAATTGCATGGAAAAAATCAAGACAAAGGAAGATGTCAGATCCGTCCTCCCAGCAAATATCAACGATTTGGATCATAATGTAATGGGCGAACTGCTCAGAAAGTCAATTTCTTTGTTGGATTTAATCCCAAGTTGATCGATTTTCTCTGTTAACATTTTTAAAAATTTTTTTATATAAATTTTCTCAGATTTTTCGAAAAAAATCGAAATTACTGTACCCTCGATTACTGTATCTCACCATCAACTGACCTTTCTCCGTAGAGAAGCTCCAGAAATTTCTGAAAATCTTCAAAGTTGATGTCGTAAATTTCAACTTCTGAGTTTTAGCATTCTTCGAATAGTAGTTTGCTGAAAAAAAGCACTTTCAGAGAAATCAAAAAGGACAACCGCCACAATTAAAATAGCATATATTTCGAAATCAAATTATTAACAGAACTGATAAGAAGAAAAGAAAGGAAATTGGTGACAGATGACAGTAGATAAATTAAGAGTTAGCAAGAGAGTACATTCAACTGATAAGATACATTGATTTTCAATCACAAAACGAGGACGAAAGTTCGAAACTTTAAACGTTTTTGAAATTGACCTCAATTTTACAAATCACTCGTTTTTGCTTCAGCTTTCTGAATTCCATGTTTTTTTTTTTGAATTTTCCGAATTTCGATTTCTTTCTAACTTTAATCTCTCAAACTTCTGATTTGTTATTTTCACTCAAATTTTTTGTGTTTCTGCTTTAAACTTTTTTCGTTTCTCTTCTTGTCTAGATATTGCTAATACGATTCTAAAATGTCTCCTCAAAATTAAAGTAAATCATTAACTACCATCAACACTCTAATAGAAGGCCACCCCTAACATTCAACTTTGAGGGCATCCTGTAAGAGATATCAGAAAGTTGTCAACTAATAAAATATTATTGATATTATGATAAAAATTTCATATGTAGACTACTTTTCGATACCTTTTACAGAAATCGAGATAAATTAGCTCAAAGTTGACAAGTCGGCGCTTGCGAGCCGAGCTACGCTTTCGGCTGCCGACCTCTGACCTTTTGAATCTATATATCTCGGTTCCTGTGAATAATGTCAAAAAGTTGTAAACTAATAAAATGTTTATCTTAATATTACAAATATTTTATCAGTTGACCACTTTTTGATATCTTTTACAGGAACTGAGATATGAAGTTTCAAAGTTGTAAGTCCTCATTTGCAGATTTTTTTCTACATGTCTGATAACGAATTCACCGGCTCGGAGACTTTGCCAATAGATTTGTTGCTGGAAAAAGACCAAATTCTGAAACAAATCGAATTGAAAATCGATGCAATCACAGAGAAATTGGCTGAACATGGGCAAAAATTCAATGAAATCTCGGATAAACTCCAATCGATAGAAAATTTGACAGCGAAAATTTCGAAAATCGACGAGGATGTTGAAGCAAAGGATACTGTAGGCGAATTTTTAATATTTTTATTGAAATTTAAGTGTTTCCAGGTTCCGAAACAAGCAGCTGAAAAGTCTTTCATATTAAAGCATGTTTTTGAGAATGTTGAGCACTTTGTGAAAGGGAGAAGTTATGAGGGTGGTTCAGAAAATCACTTCAATGTTGTTAGGTAATCATTATATTACCGTAAAACCTGTGTTAGAAGGGCCCCTGAAATTGAAGCGCCCTCTAATTGAGGTGCCCCCTAGACAACCCACAAAAGTAGAAGGCCGGCCCTTCTAATACAGGTTTTACGGAAACAGTTTTGTATCTTATTTTCAGTTGCATTGCATTACAACGTTTGAATGATCACCTCGCTTGCTTCGTTAGTATTCGTGGTCCGAAAGAGGAAGTCAAATGGGAAGTGGAGACAAAAGTGGATATCAAAATTGACGGTCCAAATCAAATCAGCAAAGCCGAAAGTTGCAATCACTGTTTTGAGAAAAATGAAGGATGGGGATTCCCCAAGTTCTTGGAATGGGAGGAAATGAAAAATGAGTATCTTGTGGATGGAAAGTTGACTGTGGAAGCTCATGTGCAACTCATCGAATCTTCTGGATTCAGCAAAGAGAAGATTCGAAAATTTGATGAATCAAATAAAGACGATTCAGATGTGGTTCTTGTCGTTAACAAAAAGGAGTTCTATGTCTGAGAAAAGTGAGATTTAAGTTTTGAAATCTCATTTCAAATGGTTGTTACAGTATCTCGCTGCTCAATCGTCATTCTTCAAAGCTCTTCTGCTCGGAGATTCCGCTGAATCCAAGAAACCAAAAGTGACACTGGCTGGAATTGATCCAGATGATTTCCACTATTTCCTCGAAGTTCTACACGGAGAACTTGCCATTGATGGTATGAGCTTTGATTGATCAGTCAATTATCATAGTTTTTACAGAATATAATATCGAGGGAATTCTTCTCATTGCTAATACATACGGTGCAAAAACTGCAATCAGAAGATGCGAGAACTTTCTTCTGAACGAATCGAAAAACCCGTTGAAAAAGAAACTACAAATGGCTGTTCGATATAATCTGAAGAATCTGAAGGTATCTAGAACCGTTGAAAATCTTCACAAATTGAATTCGCATTTAGAATAAATGCATGGAGGAAATCCAGACATTTCATCAACTAAGCTCCGTCATTCCATCTGATATCAACGACTTGGATCATAAACTAATGGGCGAACTGCTCAAAAAAGCCATTCTTCTCCATTGATTTCTTCATTTCTTCTGTTGTTTTTTTTGTTGCATTTAATCCCAAATTGTTCGGTTTTCATTGTTATTGTTTATCAATATTTCACATGAATGTTTTTTAAAATTCCCAATGATATTTTTTTTCCATTTCGACCTATTTCAATGAAGTACCATTTTCTTTTCAGTACTGTATTTTTCTGCGATTTACTTTGTCTATTGGTTTTCTCTCCATTATTTCTTCAACTTTAATATAACTCTTTTCACGGAAATTCCAGCATTTAAAAAAAAAAATTTCAGTTAGAAAATGACAGATACTAATAAAATGCTGTTGTCGAAAATTCAAGCGCTTCAAACTGGACTTCATGAAGTGACAAATATTGTTATCGAGGTTGTCATTTGGGCACAGTTCTAGTTAAATAATGTTTTTTTTTTTCAGAATCTGACGTCGCAAAAAGCCAACAATATTTGACAGAAGAGCTCGTCGAGAATCAAAAAGAGCGCGAAATTCAAAAGAAGCTGTGCGAAAGTTATGTAGCTGTGCATGAGAGAACTCTTCTGGAACTAGAAGATTCTAGAAAAATTCAAAAAGAGCAAGAGGAGAAAATCAATATCTTTACAGAAGAGAATAAAAAATTCATTGAAATTCGTCAAAAATTGAATGAAGAAAACGAGAAACTTTGCGAAGAATTGGGAGAAATGAAGCGAAAATTGGAGGATTTTGAAGAAAAGAAAACATTCCAAATTTTCATTAAAATCAGACATTATATCACTTTGGATGTGAAGAAGTCCGATACAATTGCAGATGTGAAAAAGAAATTGTTCAAAAGAGGACTCTTCTGTAATAATTGTCTTCTCGTCTATGGAGGTTACTGAGAGTTACAAAAAAAATTGATAAATACATTTTTGTTTCAGGAAAACCCTTGAATGACTCCTGCACAATATCCTATTACAATATTCAACGAGAGTCTACACTGTTCATTTCCAATCCCTATTTTCAGGCAAATGATCGTGCCCAATAATTTCTCCCATACTTTTTTTTAATGGTTTCCCTCTTTTTTTTGGTCATTATTCAATCTTTTTGCTTGAAAATCGTCTTGTTTTTTTTCTTTTTTTTGCACTGGCTTTCAAATTCTACTCCTCCATTATGTTTCCAATTCCCGAAATAATCTGCATATCCTCAACGAATCTCAAAATTTCAGAACCTCAGAACCTCAAAATCTCAGAATCTCAGATTTTCAGAATTTCAGAATTTCAAAATCTTGGAATTTTAGAAACACAAAATGTTTCGAAATATAGGTATTTCTGGGTAAATTTTGAAAAAGATGATATATTGGATCCTCGATTTTTGGACACGTCGCGTGTCGGCGTTGCGGTCGTCTGTTGAGTAACCGTTCGCGATTGTGTCAAGCAAAAACGCAACCAGTCTGTTAGTACCAGGACAACGCTGCGTCTCATTTCCTCGCAATATGCAATTTCTAAGACTTCTGCGTTTCTCCCATCTTTGTTGTCTCTAGCTTCCATGTTCCCTCGCTTTCCGTTCGCCCATCGTCCTCCATCAGCCATTTCATTCTACTCTTCAAATGGCGCAATGTGCGCGCCTAACAATTTTTAGCTCCTTTAAATGAATGGAGCTATTCTTTTCTATTTTTGTCGAAATTCCACCATTTTTCCTGTATTCTTAGACACCTAACTGAATGGAGTCTACTTTCATTTTTCATTTTTCTGACTATAAGACTACTGATTTTTCTTTCCTGGAGACCGCCAGGTCAATATAAATTGAACTTTGAATATTATATATAAATTGAACTTTGAATATTCAGCTGTCCCTAAAAAATTCACCTAAAATTTTGCAAAAACTTGCACAACACATTAAAATATGTTCCAGAAAATATAGTTTAAATAATTGAGCGAAAAAAAGGCAAAAGTTGAGAGAAAAACCCATTTTCCTGACGAAAAAAATTTAGGACAACAAAAAAAAACAAAACAATTCATCCGCGGCAGCTGAGTCATTGATGGCGCATTTCTCGTGGCAACTTCGGTATTAGATCTAGTCCAGATCTAATTCCGAATGAACTCAGATCTAATTCCGAATCGTTTACCTGAGGACGCATTACTATATTATTGCCACTTTTGTTTTGGAACCTATTACAACAATGCATGAATTTATTTTAAAAATAGGGAACATTATGAAGGTTCAGTATTTGGAAGCAAGTGCAGAATAGAAAACAATTTTGGCGATTTTCAAAAACAAATATCGGCCAACAGAAAAACGAAAAGATTATTGAGTACGATCCGGAATGCTCCGGTAAAATGAATTGGAGACAAACAGTGTAGAGTTTTTTTCAATATTATAATCGAAAAGTGCGCAACTGTCTTCCAGTAGTTTTCCTGAAAAAAATGCATTAATCAAGTATTTCGAAATTTTAAATTACCTCCATAGATGAGGAAACAATCATTACACGGGAATCCTCTTTTGCACATTTTATCTTTCACATCTGCAATTGTATCGGTTTTCTTAACACTCAAAGTGATATAATTGCTGATTCGAACGAAAATTTGGAATGTTTTGTTTTCTTCAATACTCTCCAATTTCAGCTTTAATTCTTGCAATTCTTCGCGAAGTTTCTCATTTTCTTCATTCAATTTTTGACGAATATCACTGAATTTCTCATTTTCTTCTGTCAGGATATTGATTTTTTCCTTTTGCTCTTTTTGTATTTTTCTAGAATCCTCCAGTTCTAGAAGAGTTCCCTCGTGCACATCTACATAATCTTCAAATTGTTTCTTTTGAATTTCGCGCTCTTTTTCACACTCAGCAAACTCTTCCGTCAACTTCGCGATCAAAATTTCTCGATTTTCCTGTTCTTGGCTTTTTTGTGAAGTCAGATTTTCTTCAAAATCCTCCAATTCTTCGCGAATTTTCTCATTTTCTTCATTAAATTTCCCACGAATTTCGTCAAATTTCTCATTCTCTTCTGTTATAATATTGATTTTCTCCTCTTGCTCTTTTTGTATTTTTCTAGAATCTTCCAGTTCCAGAAGAGTTCTCTCATGCACAGCTACATAGTTTCCGAATAGCTTCTTTTGAATTTCGCGCTCTTTTTGATTCTCGACGAGCTCTTCTGTCAAATATTGTTGGCTTTTTTGCGACGTCAGATTCTGAAAAAAAAACATTATTTAACTAGAACTGTGCCCAAATGACAACCTCGATAACAATATTTGTCACTTCATGGAGTCCAGTTTGAAGCGCTTGAATTTTCGACAACAGCATTTTATTAGTATCTGTCATTTTCTAACTGAAATTTTTTTTTTTAAATGCTGGAATTTCCGTGAAAAGAGTTATATTAAAGTTGAAGAAATAATGGAGAGAAAACCAATAGACAAAGTAAATCGCAGAAAAATACAGTACTGAAAAGAAAATGGTTCTTCATTGAAATAGATCGAAATGGAAAAAAAATATCATTGGGAATTTTAAAAAACATTCATGTGAAATATTGATAAACAATAACAATGAAAACCGAACAATTTGGGATTAAATGCAACAAAAAAAACAACAGAAGAAATGAAGAAATCAATGGAGAAGAATGGCTTTTTTGAGCAGTTCGCCCATTAGTTTATGATCCAAGTCGTTGATATCAGATGGAATGACGGAGCTTAGTTGATGAAATGTCTGGATTTCCTCCATGCATTTATTCTAAATGCGAATTCAATTTGTGAAGATTTTCAACGGTTCTAGATACCTTCAGATTCTTCAGATTATATCGAACAGCCATTTGTAGTTTCTTTTTCAACGGGTTTTTCGATTCGTTCAGAAGAAAGTTCTCGCATCTTCTGATTGCAGTTTTTGCACCGTATGTATTAGCAATGAGAAGAATTCCCTCGATATTATATTCTGTAAAAACTATGATAATTGACTGATCAATCAAAGCTCATACCATCAATGGCAAGTTCTCCGTGTAGAACTTCGAGGAAATAGTGGAAATCATCTGGATCAATTCCAGCCAGTGTCACTTTTGGTTTCTTGGATTCAGCGGAATCTCCGAGCAGAAGAGCTTTGAAGAATGACGATTGAGCAGCGAGATACTGTAACAACCATTTGAAATGAGATTTCAAAACTTATATCTCACTTTTCTCAGAACATAGAACTCCTTTTTGTTAACGACAAGAACCACATCTGAATCTTCTTTAGTGGATTCGTCGAATTTTTGAATTTTCTCTTTGCTGAATCCAGAAGATTCGATGAGTTGCACATGAGCTTCCACAGTCAACTTTCCATCCACAAGATACTCATTTTTCATTTCCTCCCATTCCAAGAACTTGGGGAATCCCCATCCTTCATTTCTCTCAAAACAGTGATTGCAACTTTCGGCTTTACTGATTTGATTTGGACCATCAATTTTGATATCCACTTTTGTCTCCACTTCCCATTTGACTTCCTCTTTCGGACCACGAATACTAACGAAGCAAGCGAGGTGATCATTCAAACGTTGTAATGCAATGCAACTGAAAATAAGATACAAAACTGTTTCCGTAAAACCTGTATTAGAAGGGCCGGCCGTTCTACTTTTGTGGGTTGTCTAGGGGGCACCTCAATTAGAGGGCGCTTCAATTTCAGGGGCCCTTCTAACACAGGTTTTACGGTAATATAATGATTACCTAACAACATTGAAGTGATTTTCTGAACCACCCTCATAACTTCTCCCTTTCACAAAGTGCTCAACATTCTCAAAAACATGCTTTAATATGAAAGACTTTTCAGCTGCTTGTTTCGGAACCTGGAAACACTTAATTTCAATAAAAATATTAAAAATTCGCCTACAGTATCCTTTGCTTCAACATCCTCGTCGATTTTCGAAATTTTCGCTGTCAAATTTTCTATCGATTGGAGTTTATCCGAGATTTCATTGAATTTTTGCCCATGTTCAGCCAATTTCTCTGTGATTGCATCGATTTTCAATTCGATTTGTTTCAGAATTGGGTCTTTTTCCAGCAACAAATCTATTGGCAAAGTCTCCGAGCCGGTGAATTCGTTATCAGACATGTAGAAAAAAATCTGCAAATGAGGACTTACAACTTTGAAACTTCATATCTCAGTTCCTGTAAAAGATATCAAAAAGTGGTCAACTGATAAAATATTTGTAATATTAAGATAAACATTTTATTAGTTTACAACTTTTGACATTATTCACAGGAACCGAGATATATAGATTCAAAAGGTCAGAGGTCGGCAGCCGAAAGCGTAGCTCGGCTCGCAAGCGCCGACTTGTCAACTTTGAGCTAATTTATCTCGATTTCTGTAAAAGGTATCGAAAAGTAGTCTACATATGAAATTTTTATCATAATATCAATAATATTTTATTAGTTGACAACTTTCTGATATCTCTTACAGGATGCCCTCAAAGTTGAATGTTAGGGGTGGCCTTCTATTAGAGTGTTGATGGTAGTTAATGATTTACTTTAATTTTGAGGAGACATTTTAGAATCGTATTAGCAATATCTAGACAAGAAGAGAAACGAAAAAAGTTTAAAGCAGAAACACAAAAAATTTGAGTGAAAATAACAAATCAGAAGTTTGAGAGATTAAAGTTAGAAAGAAATCGAAATTCGGAAAATTCAAAAAAAAAAACATGGAATTCAGAAAGCTGAAGCAAAAACGAGTGATTTGTAAAATTGAGGTCAATTTCAAAAACGTTTAAAGTTTCGAACTTTCGTCCTCGTTTTGTGATTGAAAATCAATGTATCTTATCAGTTGAATGTACTCTCTTGCTAACTCTTAATTTATCTACTGTCATCTGTCACCAATTTCCTTTCTTTTCTTCTTATCAGTTCTGTTAATAATTTGATTTCGAAATATATGCTATTTTAATTGTGGCGGTTGTCCTTTTTGATTTCTCTGAAAGTGCTTTTTTTCAGCAAACTACTATTCGAAGAATGCTAAAACTCAGAAGTTGAAATTTACGACATCAACTTTGAAGATTTTCAGAAATTTCTGGAGCTTCTCTACGGAGAAAGGTCAGTTGATGGTGAGATACAGTAATCGAGGGTACAGTAATTTTGATTTTTTTGAAAAATCTGAGAAAATTTATATTAAAAAATTTTTAAAAATGTTAACAGAGAAAATCGATCAACTTGGGATTAAATCCAACAAAGAAATTGACTTTCTGAGCAGTTCGCCCATTACATTATGATCCAAATCGTTGATATTTGCTGGGAGGACGGATCTGACATCTTCCTTTGTCTTGATTTTTTCCATGCAATTATTCTAGAAAAAACTGTTTGTTTATTTAAATTTTCAACGGTTCTACCTTGAGATTTTCCAGATGATAGCGTGTGGCCATTTCCAGTTTCTTCTTCAACGACTTTTTCGATTCCTTCAGAAGAAAATTCTCGCATCGTCTGGTGGCTGTTTTCGCATCGTACATATCGACTAGAAGAAGAATTCCCTCGACATTATTCTCTGTGAAAATTAGGAGCATTAACAGAAAAATAGAAGCTTTTACCATCAATAGCAAGTTCGCCGTAAAGAACTTCCAGGAAATAGTGAAAATCATCTGGATCAATTCCAGTCAGTGTCACTTTCAATTTCTTGGATTCTGCGAAATTTCCGAGCAGCAGAGCTTTGAAGAATGACGACTGGGCAGCGAGAAACTAGAAAAACTATATTTATTGAGAATTCTCTATCAAAATAAATCTCACTTTTCTCAAGACGTAAAACTCCTTTTTGTTAACGACAAGGATCACATCTGAATCGTCTTTATTTGATTCATCAAATTTTCGAATCTTCTCTTTGCTGAATCCAGAAGATTCGATGAGTTGCACATGAGCTTCCACTGTCAAACTGCCATCAATAAGATACTCTTTTTTCATTTCACCCCATTCCAAGAATTTGGGAAATCCGTAGCTTTCATTCTTTTCGTATCGATAATCGAAAGTATCGGCTTTGCTTTTTTTATTTTGACCATAAACTTTGAATTCCAATTTTGTTTCAACTGCCCATTTGATTCCATTTTCCGGACCATGAATTTTAACGAAACAAGCCAGGTGATCATTCGAACGTTGTAATACAATGCAACTGAAAATAAGATGAAATCTGCTGTACGGAAAAAATAATTTAAATGTACCTGTCAACACTAAAGTGATTTTCCATATCACAGGTATAACTTTTTCCTTCAACTAAGTTCTCGACATCTTTGGAAACATGCTTCAACACGAATCGCTTTTCCGATTTTTGTATTGCTTTCGGAACCTGAAAGAAACCCCAATTAGAGTTTAAATTTGTATTCAACTTACAGTCGATCCGTTGGAACTTGATGAATTCTTAGAAGAATCGGCTTTATTATCTGTGCGATCTGTTGACTTCTCGTCATTTTCGATTTTCGGAATCTTTGAAATAGATTCCTCGAGTGACTGGACCTTCTCCGTAATTTCGTCGAGTTTCCGTTTCAAAGTCTGCTTGATTTTATCGATTTCTGGGAGATTTTCGGGTTTTTTCGCAACGGAACCATCTTGCGAATTTTCGCCAGGGTCCGCGGTGTTGTCATTTTTCGACATTTTGAAGGAAATTCCTGGAAAAATACTGCATTATTGATTTTCGAGGCAAAATTCAAGTAAAACTGTAGGTGAGAAATTGAAAAATTATAGTACAGTACATCGAAGGTGCATGCGAAAATTTTTCTTTCAAAGTTATGCCATGCGCCTTGAAGCTACAGTAATCTTTCACAAAATTGTTTTTGATTTTCCATTGACTTTCCGGAAAAGCTTTCCTCATATTTTCACCTATTTAACTCCGCAAAAACTCAATTTTTCAGAATAAAAAATCTCAAAAAATGTTTCCAATTCCATCACCAGCACTAATCTTTCCATCGTCTAACAATCAAAATACACCATTCAAAGTATTTTTTCTTTAAAAATTGAAAAAAAAATACTTTTTTTTCCAGTTCAACTTGCTCTCATTAACACCGGCAGAAGAAGAGAAAAAGAAATTTGTACTAAAACCGATTTTTAAGGATTTGGAGAAGAATTTGAAACCGAATTCGAGTGTCGATGGGCCCATCGAGACACATTTTAATATTCCATGGTTGGAATGACCTAAAATTAAAAAAACATCGATTTTTCTACAGGAAAATCCGCCTCTATCATTATGCTCGCTATTTGAACATTATTTATTTCTGAAATTCGTGTGTCCTTGATTTCTTCGATCTCTTTTTGAAGCGAATCGATTTTGAACTGTTGAATTTCCCGCCATTTTTGAGATTCCTCGAGCTCGTCTGTCAGCTTTTTCACCAGTTTTTTGTGAGACTTTTGCTTTTTCGATCGATTTTCCGAAAAATTCTGAAAAACGGCGAGTTCTTCGTTCCCGATATGGTTAGGGATGCTCTGCAAAAATTCGATAATTTTCAGATTTAAACGGATAATTCATACTTTTTCAAGTTTGCAGTTGACATCTGTGATTTCTGTTTTCAGCGATTGAATTTTCGAAAAAAGCGTTTTTTTCGGCATCATCATTTTGCTGAAATTCGAAAAATTGGTTGAAAATCGAGCGAAATTCGAGAAAAAATAAAATAATTCGAAAAACAGTGAAAACAAGAATTACAGTACCTCAAAGGCGCATGACCTAAGCGCTAACCAACGAATTTCAAAATGTTCCTTTAAAGTACTGTAATATTAGAAAAAATAGTGAATTTCACCGATTTTCGCGAGTTTAAGTACTTTTCTGTGACTGAAATTTTTGTTTTTTGTGTTAAAAATTAAAGACTTTGCTTGAATTGTTGAAAAAGCGAGCAAAATTCAGAGAAAAATCGGGAAAAATCGATGAAAAACAAAAAATAAGAAAACTACAGTACCTCAAAGGCGCAAAACCAAAGCGTTAGTTAGCGAATTTTGAAATGTTCCATTAAAGTACTGTATTTAAAAAAAAATTGAATTTTGGGGGGTACGACGAATTCGAACGTTTTCAAATTCGAACAGACCTAAAATCGAACTGATTCAATTCAGAACAGTC